ACCTCATGGCGTATATATCTCAGGCCCTTGGCCTCATAAACAATATCAACAAGCCACCTCGTGGCATACATATCTCAGGCCCTCAGCCTCAAATCAGTATCAGTGTTTTCTCACAACTAGGCCCTCGGCCTTACTCAGTCAAAAATACTCACAAGCTCCTCGGGCATTAGTAAAACAGTATTTCTCAGCCCAAAACATCATTTAAAATATCATTTAAGTCTCACAACATAGTAAAAATAGCTAAGTAGTAAAACAGTGGAAAATAACATGACTGAGTTCAATTAATAAGTCAAAACAGTGAGGAAATAGTAATAAAAATCCTCGAAGGGTTCAAATAGTTGTCATGAAGCCCACATATGGCAATCAGCCCAAATCATGATAATAATATATAAGTTTCAGTCAAATACACGGTAAAATCATCAATTGGGACGTACCAAGTCACAATCCCCAATAGTGCATGACCCCACGCTCGTCATCAAGCGTGTGTTTCACCTCAATATAGCACTAAGATGTGCAATCCGGGGTTTCAAACCCTCATAGTATCATTTACAATCATTACTCACCTTGAACCGGCTAAATCTCTAGCTCGTGACGCCTTTTCCTCCAAAATCGGCCTCCACGCGCGTCGAATCTATCCGAAATCAGAACGAATACGTCACAATATGCTAAGGGTAAAAAGCCCAAGCGAAAACAATCGAATTACCACAAAATTCCAGGAATTGGTCAAAACCAACCCCACATCTCGGAATTGACAAAATTCGCAAAACTAGCATCCTTATACTCTCACAAGTCTAACCATATGAAAATTATCCAATTCCGATACCATTTGGTCCTTTAAATCATCATTTTATATTTTTGAAAGATTTTACAATTTTCTTCCCAAATTTCATCCCAAACCGCGAATTAAATTATGAATTCGATGATAGATTCATGTACCCTAGCCAAATTTGAGTTAGAATCACTTACCCCGATGAATTTCTTGAAAAACCTTCGAAAAATCACCAAAATCCGAGCTCTCTAGGTCAAAATATCAAATAAAACCAAAAACCTATTATTTATAGAGTACCCGACAGATTTTCATCTCTGCGGACCGTACAAAATAGAACGTGGTCCGCACAAAACCCGTGTGGTCCGCACAAAAACGACCGCGGCCGCACAACTTTCCTTTGCAGTGATAGATATTAGTATTTTGGCCATAACTTTCGCTACAGATGTTCAAATTGCGATATCTTTACTTTTCTGGAAACTAGACACGAAGTGATATAACTTTTGTTTTTAAATCATCCCATAATTTCTTGTAGATCAAAAGATATGAGCTTCCAAAATAGGACCAGTGAAATGTCTCCCACCGCGGCCGCACAGCATTTTGTGCGGCCTGCACAACACCTACCGCGGCCGCACTTCATTTTGTGCAGTCCGCACAGCACATACCGCGGCCGCACTTCTTTTTGTGCGAACCGCGGGGGTGGGTTCTGAGGCCTGCAACCCTTCTGGACCTGCTACAGCTATGATTTTTGGCCTAACACATCCCGGAACCTACACAGAACTCCCGGAACTTCAAATCAATTGTACCAACACATCCCATGACATTGTTCAAACTTGTTCAAAACTTCGGAACGCTCACAACAACATCAAATCACCAATCTAACATAGGATTCAAGCCTAAGAACTCCAAGAACTCTTAAATTATACTTTCGATCAAAAAGTCTATCAAATCTCGTCCGAATGACCTGAAATTTTGAACACACATCAAAAATGACACAACGAAACTACTGCAACTCTCGGAATTCCATTCCGACCCCTATATCAAAATCTCACCTATCAACCGAAAAGCGCCGAAATCTCAATTTCGCCAATCCAAGCCTAAACCTTCCACTTACTTCCAAAATGCATTCCGATCACGCTCCTAAGTTCCAAATCACCTAACGGAGCTAGCCAAATTATAAAAATTCCAATCCGAGATCATATACAAACAAGTCAAATATTGGTCAAATCTTTCAAATTTTAAGCTTTCAACTGAGACTGTTCTTCCAAATTAAATTCTGATTAACCTGAAACCCAACACCAACGATTTACATAAGTCATATTGCATCACACGGGGCAAGTCATGCCCAAGAACTGGCGAGCAAAATGCAAAATTTCAAAATGACCGGTCGGGTCGTTACACTAATAAATTAGAAGTATTAAGTAATACCAAAAAGTATGTGAAATATACTACTTCCCTTGTTTGTGACCAGTACCTCTATCAACATTGTGACTATAATATAAACTTGATTTTTAAATATAAAATATTTCTACAAAAACCTACATCAAAATATTTTCTCTATATGAAACTCATCCAAATTTATAAGATCAAACACTTTATTGAGATTGTTCTAATTTTATAAAAAATAAGTCAAGAACCCTTATCCAATAAATCAAAAGTATTAAGCAATGTCATTAATTCAAACTAAAAATATTTAACTTTATTAAAAAATTGGGAGTGTTTAATCATTTTTTAAAAGGTGTATGGTCACTCCTGCTAAGCTATGAAAAAAAATACGAAACTACCGGCTTAGCAAATAAGTCATATACTACTCTTATATTTCTATACAATGTCAGGTAACAAATAAACTATGCGTTAGGGGTATTCTTTTCAATAGATCGACACTAAAGAGAAAACATTGAATATTTTAAAAAGAAGAGAGACAATAGTAGTGCTCAGATAAATATTAACTTAGCGCTAAACAATAGTTTGTTGGTGACAAAGAAGAGAATAAATATAGCAAACTTGTAAAACACAGTCGACCGAAAAAGCATTTCTATTACTCATTTGTTAACTTGAATGAATACTCGCTAAACATTATCATAAAACATTTGTCCTTAACCAACGGCTTCAATTAAATAAAATAAATAATCAAATCGGTCATTCTGAAGTGTCTTTATGCTCACCAAGACTAAGATAAGAACAGGATAGTTGTACATTTCATAAAATTTTCAAAGTTGTCAGCGATTTTGGTTTATTTAAGCTTAATGATTTTAAGTGATGCATGTACCTTAAAGGGTAAAATTTAATATTCATAATCATGAAATCCGTCCAAAATCTCAATCATCAATTATTAGTTTAACCTCATATATAACTTAGTCTACCCAAATAGTTAATTTATTTTTTTTTTCTAAATCTACAAAAGCAAATAATATAAGATGAATTTTTTAAACACGTCGGAAGATGCAAGAGAAACCTGCCAAACTCTTGGTAATTTTCAATAATTCTCTTAACAAAACAACATAGTTGATTGTATAAATAATATAACAAAACTAACATATATATAAAAGCTTCGATGAAACACTAACTTATTGATAATATTAATCGACTCTTTCTTATAAACAGCCAGTAAGAGGAGGGATTTAGGAATTTAGAGCTAGCGTACCTTCTAATTACTTATTGCAAAATTTGAGGAATCTCATTGTTACTACTGTTTTTGTGCTATTGCGGACGACTATAAAGCCAAGATCTAGAATTTGTTTTTGTCCATAACTGTTATAACCATAGCCGTGGTTACAAGAGCCATGCATTCAAATCACTGGAATACCACTAAGTTCAACTTTATACCCACAATCAACATGCAATATTTCTTCATTTTTTTATATTTTCTCAATGAAAAGAAGAGTATCTTTGTTGGGACAAATATTAAATGCACCTTATCGCTAGCTTTACAATTAATTATTGGACGCGGCAATTCACTTGTTTGTCCAGTAAAATAAAAAACTGCATGAAAATGTCATTTTACATCCGGTATAATTGACAACTTCAAAAGTGAATGGAAGGACATTATAATGTAGAAAATAATATTAATCTAACTTACAAGGAAGATAGATTTGAAAGGTTGTGACTATTCGTAATAGAGCACAAAACGTTGCTATTGGGAACGTTGAATTTTTTATTTTACATGTAAGGAAGTTAAGTTTTTAAGAAGGGTATATTAGTAATTCAACTTTTAATTTAAGGACTTCCTACTTTTATAATAATATAGATATAGATATAGATATAGATTATAGTAAATCATGCCCTAATAGTAATTAAGCATAGTGTCAATAACCGGTTCCTAAAAAAATAATATAAGTCCTATGAAGCTACCTCAGTTAGATTTTAAGGGGTGCCTAACATTTTAAAGGGTGCCTAATCATGTCTTGACTAGTAGAAAATAGGGTGCAACAAGGTAAACAGGTGTGAAAGTATTTTTCTGCACAGTCGTGAAGTGACTCCAACTCTTTACTCATATTTGATTGTGAATTTCTATTTCCTACTTCGGTTTTAACCTGAATGGAAGATTACCACGTAAATAACGGATATGCTATTCTCTGTCTATTTCTAGTTTATTCAATTGCTTATGCGTTCCTTACCTTTCGTGTTTTCCATTTTGAATATTAGTTTCCAGCGCGCTGAATTTTGACTTATTTAGTCCATTGGGGTCATTTGGTTGATGGTACGTACAGGATAATTAATTTCATTATAAAATCCGCATAAATAATATGTCTGGTTGGCTGCACAATTAGAAAAAATAACTTGTGCACATAAATAATCCATATAACAATACATAAATTTCCTTTTAGATTGAGTAATTTGTGTATAATATATTATATTTTTAATCACTGTATAAACAATTCATGCATTATAACTTTCACATAAATAACACGTCAATTAAATGACCTTTGTGCGGAACTTGTGAAATTTAATGATGTTTAGAAGCATGGAAAAAGAAATTTATACCTAAATTGTGATAATAAAAAGATTCTATTAACCCAAAAAGATTAAAAAGGGATATTACGCATTACGAAATTTTAGCTTGTTTAAAAGACATCACAGATGCGTTCTAGAAATCAAAACCAAACAGAAAAAGTTACAATCATTTATATAGGACTTGTGCCATTGTAGCTAGAGACAAATAGAGACGGTATAAATACATATGCATAATAAATAATTCTTATCCACCATATTTATTATGCTTACAATTAAGTGACTACATAATTGCATGATTATGTTCCATGGTCACATTCGTAGGCACGAGTCTTGCTCTTATCGCCCGAACTTCCTCAACACTAGTTTGAAATGCCCTGGCCACGACTTCTTCTGGAATTTGAGGTCTACTCGCAAACATGGAAAGTGCAATAACCTGAACACCAGGATTTTGGCTGTTAAAGGCCACAATAATAGTTGCGTTACCTTCACCAACATTAAACTGGAAATGGATGAGACCTCTTGGGAAAACAAAGACTTCACCCTTTGTGATCAACTTGTTAACAAAAACATTGTCCGTAGTGATAAATCCAGCAACTAATGTACCCTCTTTTACGAATATAATTTCAGTGGCTCGAGGGTGAGTATGTGGGGGGTTTAAACCATCGCGTTCAAAGTCTATTCGAGTCATTGATACACCTTGTGTGTTAAGGCCAGGCATATTAAAAACGTTGGCTACAGCGACTCGAGTGCCAAATATATTGGGTTCTCCTGGTTGTGCAATTTCCATTGATGCGAAATCTTCTGGAGTGAATGTAAAGTTCCGTTTGCATGGAAATCCGTTCACCGTTATAGCTGTTTTGCGTATATATTAAAAAAGATTATATGAGTAATTAAATATGAATAATCAGCACTATGATATAGTATGGTATATGTGTGTGTCGTTTGCATGTTAAATTGCTCCAAAGTTGCTTTAAACTAGCTAGACTTTAATTTTTGCTTATACTAATTTTTATGTTTACATAAGAAAATAATTTTGATAGAGGAGGAAGGTGTATAATTGGTAGAAGCAACAGACATTGAGAAAAGAGATACATTAGTTCTCATCTATCAATGAAAAACATCAGTGTTTATTATAAGTAAACCATAGAGAAAACGAGATGATAAGAAATTGGTTATTGGAAAAGAAATACTAACATGAGTTGTAATCTGCGACACAAACATCCCGGAGTGGATCTGGATCTGATGCAAAAACTCTGTTATAAGTAATAGTTAAAATGGTGATGGCTACCTTGAAAAAGATCATGTAATTAGCCATGGATAGGATTGGAGGAAGTTATAAGAGAAGGAGAGAAAATGGTAGCTTTATTTATAATTAAGGGGCGTCATCATATATTTATATATAGGGGTTTCTCTTGATCATGATTGATCTAGCCATGCTCTACGAGTAATTCTGAACGCAATCTTTCACTTTAATGATTCCAACACGGAAGGAATGATAGTAACAAAATTTTGCAAATCATATATGAAATCTCATATGTGTGCGAGCCTAGTCCCCTTTAAAGTATTAAAATTGCACCATAGCAATTATATTACTTCCATGTCTAAATCAAATTAATGTAATCATCTAGAAGACTACCTTCTCGCATAATTTGTTACCTAGTAAAATGAAAAATTAAAATGATGAAAAACGTATGGAGAAGGAACTAAAAAGCATATGAAATGCTGAAATTGCTGGAAACTAGTAGTGTTCCATTGAATACAAATATAATGTTAAATCACTGTACACATTCCTTTATCCAGGTAATTATATTCACGTCTCGTATACTAATTGGTTTAAAAGCTCCGTATTCAATTGAATAAAGCCTTTTGATATTAACATCAATTTCCTATTAAGTAGTAAGCTCAAAACTGATGCTTTTTTCCAAATGTTTGGAGAAAGCAGAAATATGTAATCTCAAGTGGCAAATGCATCTTAATTTAACACTCTCTCTGATGTTAGATATATATCCAATCAGACGCTTAACAAGAAAAAAGCACCTTCCTGCAACGTTAGAACTCTTTGTGAATTTAAGATAATTGCCAGTGACTTTTGTGGTATGTGTAGACTGGATGGCTACTGTATTATTATTTGGAAAGAAATGTAGCGTAAGGTTGAGTTTTTAAAATTGTTACCGTTGTTCCCACATAGTGGAAGCTTAGCTTCCTCCCCCTCCCCCAAATAATATATATCCAATCAATTTAGATTCTACATTTACCTTAAAAACAGGGAGAATGTATGATTTAAAAATACTAATTACTCAATTCCACAATCCAATCTAGTAATCTAGTAATGTTTTTCCATTCCTATACTAGTCCTATCTATGAGAAAACCGAAGAGACTAGAGGATCTCATCCTGGCCCATTGTCCCTTTAAGTTAGGTAAAAATTGTGTGGGGTAGTCACTTTTTAAAGTGGTATTTACTTCTTATCCATCATTTTGAATGCTTAGCAATAGTAGCCACTAGTCTATTAAAATTAATATGAAAAGACTGTGTTACCCTTTCTTCTATCTCTTTCATGTTAGGAAGAAGAACTGTATTGAAGGGGAATGGAATGCTTTCAGAAATACAACGGGAATAGACTTTGCTCAAGTTCTGGCGCCACTATTGGCCAATACATTTGCACAGCGTTTATAATTGTACTTGATCAATTCCCTTTTGATGTAACTCTGATTCAAACATATACTTGACTTATGAATGAATATCAATGTTAGAATGTTGTTCTTTATTTGTTAAAAGAATATTTCATTCCTTTCTGGCATTTAATCTTTTACTTTTTTTGTTTAACCATCCGTTATTTAAAGTCTAATGACGCGACTATTTCGAATTCGCCTTATGTAAGCTTACTAGGGAATAAACATGTATTGTGAATCTGAGAGTAATCAAAGAGAATTTTGGTTTCATTCTCTAGAAAATAAATCGTCGTCATTTGTATTTCATCAGACTAGTAATGAAAAGGTTATGTAGATTTGTCTTATCAATGTTGCATCCAAGCCGAGTGATAACAATCTTATATGTAAATTGCGATTATTAGTATTATTATTATTATTATTTTGTGAAAAAATACAAATAACGTATGATTTTCTGCTACGTTATGGATCCTGAACTTACAGTTACAAGTTCAAAAGTTAAGGTCACTTGGTCATAAACTTCGAGCTCCAAGTTCAAAAGTTAAGGACACTTGGTCCTGAACTTAGAATTACAAGTTCAAAAGTTAAGGACACTTGATCCTGAACTTAGACTAACAAGCTCAAAAGTTAAGGATAATAGGTCCTGAACTTAGACTAACAAGCTCAAAAGTTAAGGACACTTGGTCCTGAACTTACAGTTACAAGTTCAAAAGTTAAGGACATTTGGTCCTGAACTTAGACTAACAAGCTCAAAAGTTAAGGACAATACGTCATGAACTTAGACTTACAAGTTCAAAAGTTAAGGACAAGTAGTCCTTAACTTAGAGTGACAAGCACAGAAATTAAGGACAAGTGGTCCTGAACTTCGAGTTCCAAGTTCAAAAGTTAAGGACATATAGTCCTGAAGTCCTGAACTTAGAGTTGCAAGTTCAAAAGTTAAGGACATGTAGTCGTGAAGTAGTGAACTTAGAGTTGCAAGTTCAAAAGTTAAGGACACTTGGTCCTGAACTTTATGAGCAGAAGGGTGTTTTCATCCGGGCGGGTAAAGTTTATTAAAGCAGTGGCTAAAGACTAAAAATATTTTAAACAGTGGCTTAAAAGTAAATACATGTGTTATTAGAGGCTAACCGTGCACTTCCCCTTCCAAATCCTAGCGAGAGCAGAGCACACATAAATATTTGGGCCTAATCCAAAGACTCGTTACCTCATTAAGCTTAGCTAAGGCCTTTTCCAACTGGGCTTTATTCTTCGCTTTTGGTGGCTCAGCTAATCGCTTAAACTAAATATAGTCAGCGGATGTATAATATATGTATTATCGATATATAATATGTGTATAATTATATATACTCAGTGTATAATCAATATATACTACTATTACTATAACAACAACAATAGCCTAGTGTAATCCCACAAGTGGAGTATGGAGATAATCAATATATACTGATTATCACTATTAAAAAAAACAGTGAATCCAATTGGCTTGTTGGGTAAAGATCCCTTTAAAGTACGGAAAAGACATTTACCCCCGTCTTTTTTGAGCTTAAACTGGAATTAATAATTGATCAAAGTATTCTTTTTACCCAAAAGGATAACAAAAGACATTAAGTGTCACCGAAATTTAGTTCGTTATATAAAAGATAGCAAAGATGCATTCTGGAAATCCAAATCAAAAGCAAAAGCTGAGAAATTATTCATATATATCCACCATTTATTTATTATTAAGATTACAACTATAATCTTAGGTCATTACATAATATCATATCGGGAGTACATATTACGGTCCTCATATTTATCATATCGTGAGTACATATTACGGTCCTCATGTTTATCATATTGTGAGTTCATGTTACGGTCGTCATGTTTATCGTATTGTGAGTGCATATTACGGTCGTCACGTTTATCATATTGTAAGTACATGTTACAGTCATCACGTGTATCACATTGTGAGTGCATATTACAGTCGTCATGTTTATCATATTGTGAGTGCATATTGCGGTCGTCACATTGGCGGCCTGAAGGTAAGCCTGCAGTAGGTAGTGCAAGTCTTGCCCTTATCGCCCGAACTTCCTCAACACTAGTTTGAAATGCCCTAGCCACAACTTCTTCTGGAATTTGAGGTCTACTCGCAAACATGGAAATTGCAATAACCTGAACACCAGGATTTTGGCTGTTAAAGGCCACAATAATAGTTGCGTTACCTCTGCCAACATTAAAGCTGAAATGGATGAGACCTCTTGGGAAAACAAAGACTTCTCCTTTTGTGATCAACTTGTTAACAAAAACATTGTCCGTAGTGATGAATCCAGCAACTAACGTACCCTCTTTTACGAATATAATTTCAGTGGCTCGAGGGTGAGTATGTGGGGGGTTTAAACCATCACGATCAAAGTCTACTCGAGCCATTGATACACCCTGTGTGTTAAGGCCAGGCATGTTAAAAACGTTGGCCACCGCGACTCGACTGCCAAATATATTGGGTTCTCCTGGTCGTGCGATTCCCATTGATGCGAAATCTTCTGGTGTGAATGTAAAGTTCCTTTTGCATGGAAATCCGTTCACCGTTATAGCTGTTTCACGTATTATATTAAAAAAGGTTATAGGAGTAATTAAATATGAATAATCAGCATTATGATATAAATAAAAGATTTAATATAGAAGACTTAAAGTCACGCATCCATAAAAAGTGAGATTAGTAAACTAGAAAATAAAGTTTTTACCTAGCTACTAGAATAGGATCATATAGACTGTTTGTGTAAAAATAATTTAATTATCCATATGGGAAAACAAGTTTAGAAATGATATAAGTGCTTGGTGATAACATATACATATTTGTGTGGTTTTGGGAGTGGGGGGTGAATGTTAAATTGCTCCAAAGATAGTTTACATCAGAGATTCCTGCGAGACGACGAGGAAGTTGTATATTTGGGAGAAAGAACAGTGAAAGCAATGAGAAAAGAGATCCGCATTTTCTATCACTGAAAAACATATAGTAACTATTTATTAGTTAACCATGGAGGAAATGAGAAGTTGGTTATTGAAAAAAGAAAAAATGAATACTAACTTGAGTTCAGATCTGCGACACAAACATCTTGGAGAGGATCTGGATCAGCAGCAGAAGCACTGTTAAAAGTTATAGTTAAAATGGTGATAACTAAAAGGATCATGTTGTTTTTGGTGGAAGAAGCCATGGAGATCTAAAGGAGGAATTGAAGTTATAGTACGTAGAGAAAGAGAGAAAATGGTAGCTTTATTTATAGGCGTTTCTATCGTTTGCATGAGATCATGATAGATCAATTCCAGGGGTCCACATGTAATCCAAATTATATTCAATTAATCCACTACAACTAAGTTGGTGCCAATTGATACAATTAATATCATTAGTGCATGTGCTGTATAAAAGTAGAAAAAGCTAATTAGCTTCGTTTGAATTTGCAGTACATAAAGTCATATCCGAACTCAATCTTTCCACTGTAACGATGTATTCAACAAGGAAAGAATATACATACTAAGTAAGGTTAAAAAATTGTCAAAATTATGAAAAAATATCTAAGTACGTCAGTATCTTGTATAGTAGCATTAATTAAGCACTTGATGAAGTTAATGGATGGAGTAGCGAATGTTGCTCAGATTAGATAATTTAACCATGC